CCGGCGCTGTTCCTGGCGCGGCACTGGGAGCGGGCGCCGCTGCTGGTGCGGCGGGGGGACCCCGGCTACTACGCGGGGCTCTTCTCCACGGCCGACTTCGAGGCCGCCCTGCGAGGCGGCGAGGTGCACTTCGGGACCCACCTGGACGTGACCAGCTACGCCGAGGGGGTGCGGGAGACGCACAACCCCTCTGGCCGGGCCCTGCCCGCCGTCGTCTGGGACTTCTACCAGAACGGCTGCTCCCTGCGGCTGCTCAGCCCCCAGACCTTCTCCCCCACCGTCTGGCACTTCCTCTCCATCCTGCAGGAGCACTTCGGCAGCATGGCGGGGGCCAACACGTACCTCACGCCACCGGGGACGCAGGGCTTCGCCCCCCACTACGATGACATTGAGGCCTTCGTGCTGCAGCTGGAGGGGAAGAAGCACTGGCGTGTCTACAGCCCCCGGACGGACGCTGAGGTGCTGCCCCAGTTCTCCAGTGCCAACCTCACGCAGGCAGAGCTCGGCGAGCCCGTGCTGGAGGCGGTGTTGGAGGCCGGGGACCTGCTGTACTTCCCCCGCGGCTTTATCCACCAGGGCGACTGTCTCCCTGACGCGCATTCGCTCCACATCACTGTGTCTTCCTACCAGAGGAACTCCTGGGGGGACCTCCTGGAGAAGCTCCTCCCAGCCGCCCTGCAGATGGCCCTGGAGGAGGACGTGGAGTACCGGCAAGGGCTCCCCATGGACTACCTGGGGTACATGGGGGTCGCCAACTCGGACGCACGTGATGCTCGCCGGACGGCCTTTATGGAGAAGGTGCAGAACCTGATAAAGAAACTCGTGGACTATGCACCCATTGATGCTGCCGTGGATCAGAGAGCCAAGTCCTTTCTTCATGACTGTCTCCCCCCAGTGCTTACGCAAAGTGAAAAGGCACAGAGTGTGTACGGCTTCCCAGCCCGGTGGCAAGATGGAGGCCCCTGCGATGTCGATATACGGATAACAAAAGACACAGAAGTACGCCTCCTCCGCCATGGTGTCATTAGATTGTGTAACGAAGAAGCAGGTGTGATGCTGTATTACACAACGGAAAACTCAAGAGTGTATCACAAGGAAGAACCCAAGTTCCTTGAGATAGATCCTGAGTATACAGACAGTATCGAATTTCTCCTGTCTTCCTATCCAAACCACGTCAGTGTGAATACCCTTCCATGTGAAACCTTGGAGGACAAGATTTCTCTAGCCACTCTCCTGTTTGAGAAGGGCATTCTGACTACAAAGAAGCCTCTGGTGCAAGTGTAACTATTTTTTTACAAAATAAACATCGTTTGTTTAGAAGGTGTTCTGTCTTGTTCTCGTGGTACACCTGCTAGGCGTGAATCAGCGGTCTGGATCACAGTATCTCACATCCGGGGGCAGAGAAGGGCCTTGGCGTGGGTAGAGAAATCAAATATTCTGATTAAAGTGGGTATCAGCTCTAGGAGAGATTCTGCATGACTGTATGACAAGAGAAAGGAAGTGCTTAATTTTTTAATTTCTTCCTTTCACCAGCTGTATTAGTACACCCTAGGTAACTTCAGGAAGCTAGTGAACTTTCTTGCAGTCTGTAAATCATCTCTGTGTTTACAGTGTTTTAAAGCAGCCTGCCCTACTGCAGGAAGTACTCGTTACTCACAGGCTAATTTGGTGATGGTCACCTTTCTATGTGCCTGTACTGCACATATGGTGTAGCCTTCAGGCCTGTGCTGTGTTGCAGAGATCCCTTGGCCTCAGGAAAAACTCAGCCAACTCTTCCTAAGAGCAGAGCCCTCAGGCAGCTCCCACTCTCTGCGATTGTCACCTGCGTGGTCCTGCCCTTATTGAGCAGCGCAGCAGGACACGCTTATGCGAACATGAACTGCTGCACTTGAAATGCTTCAGGCCGTGTCTTCTTTTTCAGTCTGGTAATTGCAAGCTGTCTTAGTGATAGAATAACCTCCCCCACCGGTTTTCCCACGGCACCCCCTAGTAAGGAAATTAGTAGACCTTTCAAGACAAATGGGGCACCCTCTAATATGGAGGGTTTCATGCTGAGTGCAAAAGTTGTGTATCAGGACCTAACAACACACGAATACATGCCTGGCCATGTGGCCAGTTCCCGTAAATACTGACAAGCCTCAGGTATCCTTTTCCACAATGCTGTTTTATCGTTGCAGGCGGGAGGTAGAGGATATTCTGTCTTTAAAGCGTCCTGAAGTCATACCCACAAGGAGCAGGCTGCATTACCCTGTGCTCCTCCAAGCTGCTGGGTCGTCAGAATTTTGTGAGATTTCACCCACGCAGTCTGTTCAGGATTTAAGCATACTCCGTCTCCTCCAAAGTCCCATACTTGCAGCAGCTGGTGTGCCTGCCTTTCCTCCCTTTTTTGCCCATACGCTTTTGCTAAATCTTGAAACTTGGGATGTATAAAATCACACACCACGAGAGCGTGCTGATGTGCCCCTGGGGGCTTTGTGAATCACTAGTGGCTGGACAGAAATGCTGTTGCTGCACTCATTGTCCGACCCCTCTCTCTACTTGTCCTCACCAGAGGATCGGGCTGTCCTCCTCCCACCATCCATCCCCCTGGCAAATAGCCCGTGCCTCTGGTGCCCTCCCTGGGCTGTTCTGCATGCCTGCCTTGCAACCAGAGGCACCTGCGCCGTGGCTGCCTGCACCGCAGGCACTTGGGGTGCAAGTGGCCATCCCCTAGATGCTTGCACCACAGTGGCGTATGGAAGGCACCGGCAGCACAGCGCACACAGCTCTTTCTGTGTTGGTTGTAAGCACCCCCGTGTCCATTTCAAGCATGTTAGTAACAACCAAAGATGGCACAAATTCTCCTTAGCTTTTCCTGTGTGGTGGTTTGACCCCACCAAGTTGTTCTATCACTTCCCCCCTTCCCCTTTTTTTATCTCAACAGGACAAAAAGGGGAAAGAAAATAAGATAGGAAAGAAACCCCCAACCCTTGTGGGTAAAACAAAAGCAGTTTCAATGTAAGCAAAATGAAGCAAATGTCCGCACACTGAAGCAAAAAGCAAACAGATTTATTCTCTACTTCCCGTTAACGGGCGATGTGGGGCCTTCTCAGAAGCAGGGCTCCTATGGTGGTTGCCTCGGAGGACCCAGGGTGATCCCACCCCCTTCCTCCTTTCTCACAGCTTTAAACTGAGCAGACGTCGAATATCCCTTTGGTCAGTTCGGGCCAGCTGTCCTGGCTGTGTCCCCTCCCAAGACCTTGCCCACCCCGTCCCACTGGGGGCAGGGGGGAAATGTCAGAAAGCCTTGGTGCTGTGTAAGCACTGCTCAGCAGGAGCCACAACACCAGGGTGCTATCAACACCCTGCCTGCTCCCAGCATAAACCACAGCACCGTGAGGGCTGATATAGGGGAAACCAATTCCAGCTCAACCAGACCCAGTACATCCTGTCCCCGCCCCTGTTTTCTATGTATGATAAGACAGCATAGTCCTTCAGCTGGGGTGGGACATTCTGATAATTCCTCCTCAGTTTCTAAATACACCAAGGAAACCAACTGGGCTAAACACCTTGCAAATACCCCTCATGGATTTGTGCAGGGCCAGCACAAATCTTTCTCCAGAAGGCATTACTCACTGAGACAGCCTAACTACACCAAGTGTTTTGCACTAGGAGGTGCTGGTTCATTATGATCCCAGCAAGAAAGGCACTCGCATTCTGGAAGCTATCACTAAAAATTGTATTTATCAGAGCTAACATTCTCAGAAGAGAATAGTGTAGATAATCTTACATCCCTTTAGATGCTGGGAACCCCAAGCAGCGTAGCATGTAACAAGACTCCAACCCACATGCAGCACGCCATGCAGACGTGGTCCATAGCAGATTCTCCCCTTTTGGTCTTTCAAGATATTGTAAGGTTTTTGTATAAGGAAACGGGTCTGTTTATCATGGTACAGTCAAACAGAAACAATGTTCACATGAGAATGTCTTGCTGCACTGTTCAATAAAGGCAAGACCATGAGGGTGGCATAAGCGCAGGTGCTGGATGGGAGCTGCCTGAAGACTCTGCAGGGAAGGCTGAGTTCCTGCTGCGGCCAGGGAATCGGTGCAGCCTGAAGGCCACACTGTACATGCAGCAAGGCACAGCACAGGCCTGGGCGTGCTTGGGTTAACTCTCTTGTGGGTCACTAACTGCTCGACATACAGTTGTCTTCACTTCAGGATCACTGCACTGAATTCCACTGAGAAAAATGATGAGATGCCTAAACATGCTGAAAGGATTTCAGACCTAGTGACAACCTGATCTCTCAGGTATGGAATAAGAAAGTAATTTATCTGCTTCGTGCTTTGTTCCCTATATAAAAATAGGAATGCATTTTCCATGCATGTTTGAATTCATTGTCATCATAATAATGGATGTGGAATACATAATAATGCTACAAATACACTTGCAATAGCACTACTCCTTCGTTCGCTAATGTCATCCAGCACTGAAGGTCTCTGTATTTCTTAAGCATCAATACTTTTCAGTTTGCAACCCAAGGCAAGGTAAAAAACTATGATTGTCCTCATTTTATAGACAATGGCTAGCAAGGAAAACTCTGTGTAGCTCAGCCAAAAGCACATGGCATTTTCTGCAAAATTTAAAGAAATCTGCATGATCTCTCACTTTCTAATGCAATCAAATACGAAGAGATGGGTCAAAATTAAGTTCACCCAATTCCCTTGATTTTTGACGTGTCTTAAATTAGAGTGTTTGTTTGAAGCCTATCTATTCTATGGCTTTTTATAATATTGGATCCAAAGGTACCCTTCTTGGGTACTGATGACTTCACAGTGCAGTGGTGCTGATAAAGAGAAAACAGGCAATTGTTTGATTTCATAAGGCTTCATAGCAGTTGATTTCCCATACCCACACACAGATCATCAGCCTCCAAGCAGGGACTTCTCCCATTGAGGAGAAGGAGGGAGGGTTGGTGACCAGCCCGTGTTGCTCCAGCTACAACAGCCTGATAATGTGTATGCTTATGAGAGCCCTTGTTAAACCTTCTGATGCCACACTTCATCACTGAGGATCTGGCATTGGAGAGGAAAACCTGTTCAGATAATTGGCATTCTGATCTTCTCTATACTTACATAAGGAAGATCTGAGATACATTCACCAGGGGAGACTTTCATCATTCCCACAGCTGCCCTTTGTTTTCTGTTTCCCTGTGGGTGTGTATGCTGGCTTGCTGGACTTTCCATACACACTGACAATGCAAAAGTACAAACAGCATTCGGGTCAGAAGATTTACGGTATCTAAAAGCAAGAAGGCCAGAAGAAAAGAATGTTCTTGTTAAGGAAGAAACTGATAAAGAAGGAACTCATTGGAATTACAAAAGCAGGAACTTATCTACTGGCTGTGTGTGGGTAGCAATGTTTGTGGAAAGTACTGAGACGAGCTATTTTTTTGAAATGAGCATGCTCAAGAGTAATGCAAGGTAGCAACAAGTATGTAAGGGCTTGCTGTTATTTTTAGAATGCACAACAAGTATATAAGGGTTTGTCACTATTTTTAGAATGCACAACAAGTACATAAGGACTTGCTGCTATTTTTAGCATGCACAAGAATATGTAAGGACTTGCTTTATAATAAAGTGGGGAGCATGACTGTTAACCATATTGGTGTGTGTCTTGACTCTGGCCTCATCCTGCAAAAAGGGGTTCCTGCTACATTTCCCTGCTCTAGAGATGGTATCCCCATGTGACCTAAAGTGATTCAGTCAGAATGGACTTCCGAAATGACCTCATGGTGGTGAAGAGGTTCGCAGAAGGCGAGTGGAACTGAGAAGCAGTTGTGCCATTGGAAAGAAACAGGAAAAGTGCAAGAATACACTGGCATTACAATCTATCTATGGGTGAGACAGGTCTGCGCTTCTAAGTGGTTATCTGCCACAGGGCGCTTCCTCTGTGCAGTTTTCCACTCATCTCATCTTGTACCTCACCCCTCATGATAACCCCATGCAGCAATCTGATCAATGGCCTGAGAATGTCTGCCAGAAGGAAAGGGATGGCTGATACAGCAGAATCGGTCCTTGATCAGTCAGTCTGTCAGAAACCTGGGTATACCCTTAGTACTGCTACTGCTAAGTACTAGTACTTGGATCTTCTCGTAAGTGTCTGGATTCATCCTTTTCACCACAGGTAGCTGACCTCCATTACATGTATGTAAATACCCAAACTGTTGTTGTGAATTCCCCATATGTATGAATTCGGAGAAAGGGGCAACCTTTTTCAAAGGAAGCCTGCAGCTTCACTGAGTTTAGGAGAGAAGCCTGGGTATGGGGCTGCAGCTGCATGACCTCCACTGGGTCCGTTTCTGCAAGAGTAATAACCAGCAGGCCTGACGACATATTGTTCCCAAGATCCTGCCCTATGTTTGCACTTGCTGTGTGGAAGCTGCCCCCATGGCAGCTGGCCTCAGAGGGTGGGCAGGGACTGCCTGTGCAGTTGTGGGGGTGTGGGGGCCTGTGCAGAGCCTTTGGAGGTGCTCCTGCAGTGCCAGGGGACCGGCTGTGCCAAGCCCACCCTGCCGCAGGTGCTGCCAGGGCTGCCTTGACATCTCATCATGTGCCACTACTCTATGACCTGGCCAGAACTGAGTTTTCATACATATAAACAAGAGAAAAAAAAGAGTTTACTTCTCCTCTGCATGCTTAGTATCTTCTGGTCATATTTTAAAACACCCCCTCAAAATGCAGTGTAGGGATTTCACCAGGTTTACCTTGAATGTAAACGGAAAAGTCTCAAAGCTCACAAAGCAGCAGGAAAGATACAATATGGGATGTTATAACTGGGATGCCAGGGTCTATGGCAGAGAGCTCTCAGGCTGCGGGGAACCAGTTCTTACTGGATGAGGTGTTTGTCTTCTGCACCTTGGGTTTGCCCCCCCTTCAGAAGTATGTACTCTGACTGGGGGCTTCTTTTTAATCAAGATGCTCTTCTGCTTGATTTATAGTCAGTACAATCTTCTTTCAGAAGAATGCAGTATCCTTTTTGCTTTGGAATTATAGGGAGAAAATGGGATCAGAATTCCTTGAACTAATTAGATGAGTTTTTGTTGGGTACAGGGTATTTTTCCTTGGATCACACAAGGTGAAATTGCTATATGATGGAGGACAGATTCTGGACTGTACATAAAAATCCCAGATAAGAAAGCACATGACACTTTCAGAGGGAGAGCAAAAGCAATCTTCATGAGCAAGGAAAATCTGCTAAGAGTCTGCCCGATGCCTCTGACTACCTTGTGTTATGAAATAGGACCATGCTGAGGGTTCTCTCACATGCTTCCAAGCAGTGCAGAAACACAGACATAGCTACAGGGAGCAAATCCACCAGGTTTTCCAAGAGGAGCTGTGCAGGACAGGAGAGCTGTAAGAGAGCAGGTCTTTATTTGCTTTCATAATCAGATCCTTGGGGCACTGGTGTCCCAATCCGATATTGGGGAGGGTTCTTACACAATCTCAAGAGAGAGATTAAGACACAAATGAGTTTAGATGCCGTACAACCTTGTGAACTTTATTTTTACACACAACTAGTAATAGCGATAGGACAGAGAGAAAAAGGAAGGAAAAGTCAGAATCTCTAAGCAAGAAAATGGTAGAGATGCAGCGAGATTAATTACCACCACCACGGATCGAGTGATGTACCATTGGCTCGATCTCGGTGCAGGTGATGGTGCTCCAAACTCCAAGAGTGATGGCAAGAGTGAGAGGAGAGAAATAACAAGCATCCCGAGAGAGGAGTACGCAGTCCTTTTATTATCCCAGTCCCCACTATTTCTCGAAAAAGTCCACCCATTTTCATGGAGCTCATTGTAATATGTGCCGCCCTGTGGTCCTCCATGCGTGTGTGCTCCGGCATTCACGGTGCTCGTGACAGCCTGCACGTCTTCCTCGCCCTGATTTAACTTTGGGTGATGTCGTGGTTTTGTCAGGGATAGTTCATCTTCTCCAGAGCATACTTCTCCATGTCAACAAGACATTAAGGCCAGGAAGTGGTGGTGATCCAACAGCAATGTTGAGATAAACAGTGTCCAACACAGTCCCTTACAACTGGTACAGCATCTTTTTGAATCATACAGTTACCGCAGGCTTCACAACGGGGGGGCTTCACTTACATGGGGCCGGGAGAGAGGGGAGGGGAGCCAGCAGTACCACCCCTGCCATGACAGGAGAAGGAAGCAGCTCTCCATGACTGGCTGCCCAGGCACAGGAGCCAGCACATTCAGCTTAAATACAACCATAATGCAGATGAGAGGATCACAGGTTTAGCTGCAGATTGCTCCCAGCTGTCTTTGCCAAGCACAGTTGTGGTCATGGCAGTTGAAGTTTCTCTTGTCTGGTGTTTTCCCATCACTCATCCCCTGTGGCCCCCTCCATCTGCCTCTTGCCATTGCTGTGGAGGGCCCATGGCAGCAAGATGTCATGCAAAAAGCCATTCTGCTGAATTTACAGCCATTGTGATTTTCTACCATGTGATGTGGCCCCTTTTCAGCTTCATTATTAGGGTGAGAATTCTAATAAAGAGACTGAGATCTGAAAGCCGTGGAGTAATTTGCTGTGCTTTGGTTAGAAGCAGGGATCTTTGCTTTTTAACCACTCTCTCATTCCAGGGTGGAACTTGCAGGAGCTTGGGAGCAAGGGCTACTCAGGTGGGGAGCGGAGACCAGAGGAGACTGACACATAGCTCCCTTAACTTGACTCTTCCACTGTGCTTGGGTCACCAAGGCCCCTGCAGGGCCCTTTCCCTTAGCATCTGCTCCAGCATGTGGTCAAGGTAGTGATCAAATCCAGCTCTGCAAGCAAGGAGTGTTGTTCTCAACAACAGAAGTTTGCCAAACATTGAGGGCTGGATGCCAGGGAACATAGGCAAATGCTAGATGAGAAAGCACCTAAGCTGTTTAGGAGAGATGGGGTAATCTCCATGGAGAACAAAAGACTGGTGAAACTCTGCCCAACACTTCTGACCAGTTAGTATTTCAAAACAGGGCAATGCTGAGGATTCCCTCAGATGTTTCCACTTGTTTCACACCACTAAGTCAGACACAGGGAGCTCTGAGCGAGAGGCACCTCTATCAGCATCTCCCAGAAGTCAGGGAGCCTGTGGAAGCAGCTCTCCCTTTGTAGTTCCCTTTGGAGCAAAAGATGCAGCTCTAGATAGGACGGACTGAATAGCCGCCTTTTTAAACCTTTGCACAGTCCATTACCGGAAGAGCCGGGTGTTTCCTGACCTGCCTCGGGAGCCTGTGGAAGCCCCTCCACTTGCACATCCCTGACCGCCCTGGCGGTCCTTGCCCACTGGCTGTGCAGGTGCCAGCGCTGGGCAGAGCCTGGTGGGGACATTAACCCGCCTTGCCCAGCCCTTGGGGCAACCACGGCGGGAGAGGCGGCAGCAGACGGGAAGCAATGCCGGGCCGCCGCGAGT